GAGAGAGAGAGAGAGAGATATCATCGATGTGAGAGCTGCTCCTGAGAATCAAACTTGAAACCCAGGCACCCAACCGCTGAGCCACACCAGCCAGGGCTCATTCTCAGTCATTTAAATGTAAACAGCCACGTGTCAGCCTGTGTCACTGACGCACACCGGATGGTAACACGAACAAGAGACAACTTGTCCTGTGTCAAGGCCTTGAGGTCAGATAGCGTGAGAAGTAGACAGAATCTATTACATAGGCCATGAAAGGCCAGGTTAGACTTTGTTTTATTGAGTTACTGGAGGCCTGATGCACGAAATTCATGCACGGGGGTGGAAGGGTCCCTCAGCCTGGCCTGCGCCCTCTCGCAATCTGAGATTCCTCACTCCTAACCGCCTGCCTGCTCGCTCCCCGCCACTGCTGGTCTGTGGGAGGCAACTGGCAGGGCAATCAGGTGGGGAGGACCGGGTGGGGAGGACCCTGGGGCCTGCCGGCTGGGGGCAGCTCCTGCATTGAGCATCTGCCCCCTGGTGGCCAGTGCACATCATAGTGACCAGTCGTTCCACCGGTCATTCCACCGTTTGTTGATTTGCATATTAGGTTTTTATTGTATAGGAAAATTCACACACTAAAAAAAAAATTGGACCTACTTTAAGTGTATAGTTCAGTGGGTTTTGATAAATGCATATATACTCTACTGGCCTACAACCAGCCCACATGATCCAGTTTTAGAACACTGACTTCCATCACCCAAATTCCCTTTATGCCCCTTTGCATCCAGTCCAGATACCCACCCACCTCAGGCAGCCACTGTCTGCTACCTGCCTCTGTGGTTTTCTCGAATTTACTAGAAACAGGCCATACAGTGTATAGTCTTCCATGCTTGGTGTCTCTCACTCAGATGATACTTTCTCGATGCATCGATGTGGTTGCGCGCATCAACAGTCTGTTCTCTCTCTGCTGCTCTGGGGTATCGCATTGTGTGGATGTGAGGTTTTGCTTCTTCGTGCCCCTGTCAGTGGACATTGGGTTGTTCCACTTTTGGGGCTGTTGTGACTAAAGCTGCGGCGAGCATCCATGTGCTCGTCTTTTTGTGGACATGTGTTTTCACTTCTCCTGGGTAGACCCCTAGGAGTGAAATTGTGGGTCATATGGTAAGTGTAACGTTTTTGGTATGTTTATATTTAACTCCACAGAAGAAACTACAAAACGGTTTTTCCAACTATTCTACACTCCCACCAGCAGTCCTTGAGCGTCCCCATTGCTCCCCATTCTTACCAGCACGTGGTATTTTGATGCGTTTTCATGTTGGCTGTAGCACCAGGTTTGTAGTAGCGTCTCACTTGTGGCCTTAACTTGCATTTCCTGAGGACCACTGACTGGAGCATCTTTGCATGGGTCTAGTGACCACTCATATGTCTTCTCTTGTGAAGCGTCTCTTCATCTGTCCATTTTCATTGAGTTATTTTTTGTGATTTTTGAGTTATAAGAGTCTGTCATATAATTCACTGAATTACCTTGGCACCTTTGCTAAACATGAACTGACCAAATGTATCTCATTTCAAACTTTCTCTTCTGTTCCTTTGATCTATGTTTATCTTTTTGCTGATCCCATGATTTCTAATAACCAGAGGTTTCTAGTTAATCTTGAAATCAGGTCATAAGGCCTCCAACTTTGTTCTTCTCTTTCACAATTGTTTTGATTATTCTTTGCTCCGGCCAACGTAGCTCAGTGGTTAAGCATAGACCTATGAACTAGGAGGTCACAGATCTATTCTCCATCAGGGCACATGCCCAGGTTGCGGGCTCCATCCCCAGTGTGGGGCGTGCAGGAGGCAACCGACCAATGGATCTCTCTCATCATTGACGTTTCTATCTCTCTCCCCCTATCCCTTCCCTTCTGAAATCAATAAAAATATATTAAAACATGAATAAATAAATAAAATTTAGGATCAGCTTATAGAATATGTTCACTCCTGAACTCATCACCGTGGCCCAAAGAATTTGACTGGTCAGGATGGGCCCCGCCCAAGCCCACAGCTGGGAATTTCTGGGTCCTGTAAGAAAGGGGGAAGGGCTGAGTGGAGGCTGAGGAGGCCTGTCCCAGGCACAAGAGGGAAATGGCCTCATGCCATTCTTCACTACCAGGTCGAAAGCCCCGGTCAGCTCTGACCTAAACCACAGACCTTCCTTCTCTCCCGGTCTGGAGGCTGGAAGTCCGTGACCAGCGTGTGAGTGGGGGGCTCTCTCCTTGGCTTGTGGACGGCCACCCTCCCTGTGTCCTCACACGTACCGTTCTCTGTGCACATGCGTGGAAGAGAGCTCCGGTGTCTCTTCTTCTTCTTATAAGGACACAGTCCTAAGGGATTCGGGCCCCTGAATTTCACCTTGATTATCCTTAAAAGCCCAGGCCCCAAATACAGCCACATGGAGAGTTAGGGCTTCCATGTGTGAATGGGGGGTGGGGGTGTTAAGTTCACACCTAAAGGAGCCAGGCCAAAAGACGCTTTGAGAGTTTAAGAAATGTTATTACATCCTCTCTCAGTGGGCTGAGACCAGTACAGCGGGGTCAGTCCCAGGGGGGTGGTTAGGGTCTCTGATAGAGGGTGGAAGTATGCAGTAGGGTCAGGGTGTGGGTGCGCCAGCTGGTCCAGGGAGTCAAGGGATGGGAGAGTGCACAGGCCGGTCAGGCGGAGGGAGTCCTCATCTTGCTTCTGCAGGCGCCGGCCATCTGCCCAAGCCCTGGGAAAAGCTTTTAATAACATATATTTCAGCCCTGGCACATGTGGCTCAGTGGATAGAGCATCGGCCTGTGGACTGAAGGGTCCCAGGTTTGATTCTGGTCAAGGGCACCTGCCCAGGTTGCGGGCTCGATCCCCAGTAGGGGGTGTGCAGGAGGCAGACAACCAATGATTCTCTCTCATCATTGTTGTTTCTCTCTCTCTCCCCCTCCCTCTCTGAAATCAATAAATATATACATATATATATTAAAAAAACAATATATATTTCAGAAAACATGTCCAAGCGGGAGAGACTAAGGGTAGTTCCCCCAGCAGGGGGCGCACTTCAGTCCCTAACACCAGAAAAGGGGCAGGCTTTGGCCCTCCCTCCCTCTCCTCAGACTGAACTCAGCTCAGAAGTTGTTTTTTGGTGAGTTTTTTCGCTTGTTTATTTTTCTATAATTTTTTTGATTTCAGAGAGGAAGGGAGAGGGAAAGAGAGAGACAGAAATACCAATGATGAGAGAGATTCTTTGATCGGCAGCCTTCTACACAGCTCACACCGGGAATCAAGCCCACAACCCCGGCACGTGCCGCTGACCGGAATCGAACCCAGGACCCCTCAGTCCACAGGCCAGTGCTCTATCCACTGAGCCAAACCAGCTCAGGAGCTTTGCAGTGGACTCCTGGCTAGCCTGGGGGGGAAAGGAGGCAGGGAGAGCCCAAAGAAGCAGCTCGTCCATGAAACATTTCCCGCGGCTGAGACTGCGCCTTGGGAGAATAAATCTCTCCTTGGAGGGGAAGGGGTGAGGCAGTGGTTGTCGGCTGTGACGCAGATGCAGTGGCCACAGCCTGAGAACGGTGCTTTTCGGCTCCAAAGCATCCCTAAGTCAGGGGGAGCAGTGGTCATTGAAAATGAAAAACAAAACCATATCTAAAAAAATAACTCAGTTTTTAACCCAGAGGAGCAGTTGTCCTTGGATTTCTCCTCCTGCGCCGTGTTGTCAGCATGTAGCCCGAGGATCCTGCCCACGGAAACCACGTCCTCCCACCTCCCACCCCCTCTCTGCACCTGCGTCCCACTCCTGCCCCAGGGCTGATGCCCACATTCCCCCTCACCTCCTGATCTGTCTCTGTCACTCCTGACCCCGGACCCGGGGCCACGGTTCTCCCTCCTTGCTGAGGACTTGCATGTTTATGTCCCCTCTGAATTCTGATGTTCAGCGTCGACCTATGAACCAGGAGGTCACAGTTCAATTCCCCGTCAGGGCACATGCCCGAGTTGCGGGCTCCACTCCATCCCCAGTGTGGGGCATGCAGGAGGCAGCCAATCAACGTTTCTCTCTTTCTCTCCCTCTCCCTCTCCCCCTCCCTCTCCCTCTCCTTCTCCCTTCCTTTCTGAAATCAATAAAAAAAATATATCTTTTTTTAATTCTGATGTTGAAACCCCCCCCCCCCCCAGTGTGGCGGTATGTGGAGGGGGCCTCTGGGAGGTGATGGGTGTGGCGGGGGTGCCTGCAGGGTGGGACAGTGCCCTCCTAAGAGGAACAGAGCTGCTCCCCGCACCACCACGAGGAGACGAGGGAAGATGGCTGCCTGCAAGCGAGAGTCTCTCTCCAGGTACCGGCTCAGCGCATCTTGATCGGAGACGTCCAGCCTCCAGAACTGTAAGAATGTATTCTGTTTAAGCCACGCGGCCTGTGGAATTGTGCTGTAGCAGCCTGAGCACTAAGACACTCCTCCCACCTCCCCACTTCTCCTGCCCCTCACAACCTCTGCCACCTGAGACGCCCGCCCCCAGGCGCGTCTTTGTCTGGAGACCCGCAAACCAAGTGCAGTCGATCTCATCGTTCAGGTAGTTCAAGGTCGCCCGGAATCAGCGAGTGCTGCACCACTGCTCCTGGGGAAGAATGAACATAGATGTAAGGAATACACATCGCACACGGGTTACAGCCTGCAATCCTACAACCGACTCACCCCAGCAGAGTCTACTTTCTTTCCTTTTTTTTAAAAGACTTTATAATTGATTTTGAGAGAGAGAGAGAGAGAGAGAGAGAGAGAGAGAAAAACATGGATGTGAGAGCAATACATCGATCAGCTGCCTCCTGCACAGCCCCTTACTGGGGATCGAGCCCACAACCCAGGATGTGCCCTGACCAGGAATTGAACCAGCAACCTTTTGGTGCACAGGAAGACGCCACACACTGACCCACACTGGCCAGGGCCAGATTCTATTTTCTTCATTTTAAAAAAGAGAAAACAAGGCTCAGACCTGTTACGTGACTTACCTGAGGCCATCCCGCTAACAGGGGTCAGAGGTGGGGTTCCCCCCAGGGCCGCGCTTCTCGCTCTGCACTGCACAGCCCCCTCCTGGCTCTAATTCCTACTCAGGGGGAAACTCGTGATAACCCTGAACTGCTGTGGCCAAAATTCTACTTCCCGTTCCCGCACCTGCCGACTTCCGGCTCCAGAGAATTCTCACCTGTGCGGGGTGCACCTGCAGGCAGGTCTCCCCTCCCCTCTCCCCAGAGGTGTCTGCCCCGCCCCTGAGTTCTGCAAATCTGGACGAGCATCACCGGCCCCGCAGGTCTTCCCCGGAGGTGGTGTCTGCACAGAGCGCTCCGGGTCCAGGTAAGATGGTCCCAGGTGCTCAGCTCCACGTGCTTTAGGTGAGAGCAGCTGGGGGTGGAGCTGAGTTTTGAAGAAAGGGGGCGATACAGGGGGAAGATAAACCAGAGGTGGGCCAGGCAGGAGCCCGGACGGGGAGCAGGTACCTGGAGTTTACCTGATGAACCGACAGGATGCGCAGAAGGAGCCCCAGCTCATGTGGCGCGTGCCCTTCGAAGCCCGGGGAGAAGGAGTGGGTCAGGGAAACGGAGGCCCCAGGCCAATGAAAGGCGGACGTGGCGATAAAATGAGCCGGTTTGGCTCCGTGGATCCGAAGGGTCCTGGGTTTCATTCCGGTCAAGGACACACACCTCGGTTGCAGGATCCTTATGCATGAGCCCGTGCGGAAGGCAAACAATTGATGTGTTTCTTTCACATTGATGTTTCTCTCTGTCTTTCCCTCTCTCTTCCACTCTCTAAAAATCAATGGAAAAATATCCTCAGGTGAGGATTTAAAAATAATAATAAAATGAGCCTTTGCTTACCTGTGACCCAGTTCTCTCCTACGAGGCTCCTCTGAGACAAGGCGGCCGAGCATTTAGGAGCTGGACGGTGAGCTCGGACAGTGAGCTTGCACTGGGCACCCGCAGACGCTTCCAGAGGGCAGAGGGCAGAGGGCAGAGGGCAGAGGGCAGAGGGGCAGGATGACATCGTGGCTTCAGGTAGCTTTAGGACTAAAGGAGGTGGGAATTCTAGAACCAGGGAGGATCACAGCACGTCCGATGATGGACTATAGAATCTTAGGGGGAGAAACGGGATGACTGTCAGAACTCTAAGCAGATCATTAGTCCAAACGCAGAAACGCTCTGGGGGTTCTACATAACATTTAAACGTTTTCGACAGAACGAACTTCATCTCTTAAAGGCCCCAGCATTTCTGCGAACTTGCAGTAACAACGGCGCGTCCTACCCTTTCCTCCGGCGCCTTTCAAGTTCGCTGCGGCCCGAGGACTCCATTTCCTTTGAAATACATACACTTGGAGCTATTTTGGTATCGGTCATGTGTAATATCGGGTTTACAAAGCACAGACATGAATATATGAGCGATCTCACGTTTTAATATTAAGAGATGGAGCAGGCGGCCAAGTTATTACCGTGTGGTCGAAAGCCAGCGCTCCAGCCGTTAGAGGACCCGCCCGGAATTTCTGAGTCATCGCCAGCAGCTCCGCAGTCTGGCAGCCACATGGCGGCTCAAGACGCAGGTGGTTTTGCCATAAACATCAAAGGCCCACACTTAACCCCGTGGAGACCCTGCCGGGTCCAGCCGTGAGAAGGCCTTGGAGGTGCCCGGAGCCCTGCCTGGCCCGGGACCGCCTCGGTGTGCGCGTCCTGTGCAGGGCGGGCGGGGCGTCGGGAGCCTCTGCGCAGGCCCAGCATCCCTGCAAGTTGGTGGCATCCTGGAATCAGAGAGAGAACCAACCTCTCCGGGGGCGAGCCCAGACGCCAGCCAGACCCAGCCTGGCAGTGGGTTTGTCTTGGCTGAGCCGGCTGGCACCCAGTGTTGTCTGTGGGGTCTGTGCGGCCAGGCCTTGTGGGACGAGGTGCCCTGGGATGGGCGCCCTGGCACCGGCGCCCTGGCACCGGCAGCTGCTGGCGAGGCCTCACCAGGCTCGGTCGGAGGAGCTATTCCCAGAAGACGGGCTTCCAAATCCCGTTTTGCCATCCAGAGCCCAGCCCCGAGGCCAGTGCTGCTATTTCAGTGTCTTCTCTCAGCCCCCGCAGATTCCCAGCTGCCGTGTCTGAGCCTGGCTGCACGCCCCGCATGTTCCTCCCAGCAGGCATGGAGTCAGGCGCCCCCCTTTGCTCTGCCTCGCCTGTGCCCACGCGTTCGGTTGGCAGACCTGGACTCAGGGAGGGGATGAGTGTCAGGACAGCCAGGCCCGGGCCGGAGCTCAGCATCCACAGAAGCCTGTGATGGGCCTAGCGGCCGCCCTTGGAAACACCACCTATCAACAGCCTGGCCCCATGTCAGCGTGGCCTGGCCACAGGCTGCCAGTCACCCCCAGGTCCACCGGCTGTGACCAGGGATGCAGAGCTGCTGCGGCCTGGAATCTGGTCTTCTGGACCCTCCCTCCCTGCAGGGCTGAGCCCAGTCTCCCAGGTGGTTCTGGCCATGAGGCCTGGAAGCCACACTGCAGCCCCGGCCAGGCAGGAAGAGCAGAGCGCGGTGCGGCACTGCCAGGGTCCGACCTGCCCTACCCGATCACCGTGGCCTTGGTGTCGTGGTTTGTAAAATAGGCTCTTTCCAGGCCTCTGTCAAGAATAACAGGAGGAGAGAGACCAAGATGGCGGCGTAGGTAAACACCGGAGACCGCTGCCGCAAACAACCATTTCAAAAATACAACTAAAAGACGGAACGGACATCACCCAGAACCACAGGAAGGCTGGCTGAAGAGAGACTCTACAACTAGAAGGAAAGAGAACAGCAAACCGAGGCTCAGAGGAGGCGCAGTGTGGAAAATACAAAGGTACCGAGGTGCGCGCGAAAGCGGGCTGGTGGCTGAGGGCACGGTTGTCGTTTTCGGTCGGGAGTGAGTCTCAGACTCTGGGCTCCAGATCCGGGTGAGTCTCTAGGGACCCAGACTCCAACGGGAGAAGCGGGATTATCTGGCATCAGTTGGAACCTGAGGGCAGCTTTCTCTCCGAGGTTTGCAGCGGCTGCCGGGGTTCTGAGAAGCAGAGCTCTGGGAACGGGACTGAGAGCGGCCATAACTGCTCCCTCCGCCCAGCCCTGTTGATCCCGCCCCGCCCAACCC